CGACATTAAATATTTGGACACTTTTCTTGACAACATAAAGGAAGATCTTGAGACATGAGAATGGCGGGGGTGTGGCTGTCTGAGGGGTCAGGTGACTCTGCTCGGTCGCAGGGGTCAGGTGACTCTGCTCGGCCGCAGGGGTCAGGTGACTCTGCTCGGCCGCAGGGGTCAGGTGACTCTGCTCGGTCATGATGCTCTTTCTGGTCCCCAGCAGGCCAGTTCTGCTAATGACACCAGTTCCCGCTTCCCAAAATCCCTGTGCCTGTATCCTAGATTTCATTTATTTTCCTCTTACCAAAACCATTCTTTTGGTTTTTATTCTTCTCTTTTACCTTCTTCACTCCATCCTTGCCCTGCAGAGAGGAACAGCATACCACACAAACACGCCCCATCCCAGTGACTCAGGGTTATCTTCACTCTTCTGGTTAAGCTGATTCACACTGAACTATTTTCGCAATATTGAAAGAACTTTAATTAACTGTAACCATAGGGCCATAGTGCTTAAATTAAACAAATACCTGATTTATAAATAATTTCACTGCAGTTGCTCAGATCACATACGTGATGATATCTTTCAGTTTAATTTCAGCTAGACTGTCCACGCAAAGTGTGAGTGTGAGAAAGAACCTGGGGACAGAAGCCAGCATTCACAAATACGTACTATACGGGCTATTCAGGTCCGTTTACGGGATGGAATACCACCTACCCACAATGCACCAGGAGAAATGCTCCATGCCTCTGGCTTTTAAAGGCATCCATAGCAGTTCAATGTTCAAATCCTCTTTTCCTCTTCGTATGAATCTGTCACTTAATAAACCAAATACAAGCTGTGAAACTGGAGGGCTAAGGAGAGAGATGGTATTAAATGTGCCCAGCAGGGGGTGCCAAATAAAAGAAAATGCAGGGCTTTGCCCATTTATGTCAGCAGTCATGGGGCTTCAAGGTGCCATTACTAGAAAAGTTACATGAACTTTTGTCTTGTGTTTTGTTTGATCTTAGTTCTTTGTTTCTTTGGGTGTCAGCTGTACTAATGTCACTGGTTAGCTAAACACGCCTTCTGCTGTGACACTGAGGCCTGATCCAGGGCATGTCTGAGAGTTTGCATGCAAAGGCTTTACATGCTGTCTGTGTTGTAGGGCGATGGCTCTCGATCCTTTTCCTACCCCCCCGGCAGAATGTCTTCATTCCGCTTACAACCTGCCATTAATAATTAGCCCATTAAGGACCATGGAAGCCTGATTAAGGCTGGGATTGTATGCAAACGTCCTGGCAGATGGTCCTCTAGGACCACGACTGTTCTCAGAGTTTTCCAGAGATGTACCAGTCAGGTGACTCTGGGCGTAGCAGCTCACGGTCTGATCTGTGCTGTAAACCAGCTCATCCCTACAGACCCCCACAACGCACCACGAACGGATGGTAACCAAAGATAAAGGAGGACACTAAGATGAGGGACCATCTGACCATGTCACATTCCCTCTGAATCTAAAACTAACCTCGCTGGTGGAATCTGTCATCCCAAAGAACCAATGAAGTATCACAGCGTGCTTCAAAGGAGAAGCGAGTGGCGAGGGATTACGACAACTGGGAAGCCTAAAAGATGGCGCTTCTGTGGCTGACCTCCATGAAAGGCGAAGGGGGGAATTTCCGGACCGACGGAGCTGAGGTGGAAGGTGGATGTCGGCCAGCGAGGGGATCAGCGAGAAGGCAGGCTTTGAAGTCCGTTCACTTCCCCGGGGATGAGCACAGTGCCCTCCAAAGTGCACAGGGTGTGCACAATTCACAATTCACCATGGCGGGTGAACCCAAATTTTTTTTTAAGAGGAGGCCATTGTCTCTTAAATGTAATGGACCTGTGCATGTAGGCTGATACGTGTCACATGTAAGGTGTGCAAATGCGTCTGAACACGTGTGTGGCTGAATGTGCACGTGTGGATGTGTGTGTGCGGATAGAAAAGAATTCTGTCCCATTTTTGGGAAGGAGAAACAGATGACTGACTTTCACGGATGATTTTAGTGCCAAATTTCTCATTTTCTACGCGTAAACCATAAAATTCCCCGTTTCCCTTCACCCTCTTTTTCTGTTTTTAAATTTGATTGCTTTGTACAGTGTTTCCCAATCTGGTCCTCAGGGCCCCACAGAGAGGCCACGTTTTTGTTCCCTCCCAACACTGTGCCAGACTTTCCACGTTTTTGCTTGGGAGCTGGGAGGGAGCAAAAACACGGACTGCCTGTGGATCCCTAAGGAGGGGATTGGGAAACACCGGCTTCATACACACACATGACCTCATGCGTAGGTCTGCGGCCACGGCTGGTCCGTCTGGCAGGCGGCCAGACGAACAAGGGGGGGTGAGGAGCGAGCAACAGCTGGGATGTGGGCGGCCCACGTTCCCCCCCCCAATCCCCAATCCCCAATCCCCAATCCCCATCCCATCCCAAGGGGGGACTGTTGACCCCTCCACGACTCTCGTCTCTCTTTCACAAGCGTGCGGCACCCTGTTATTGAAAAGCTGACTGCCCTCCTGTTTATCCGCTTTCAGTTTCCTCAGTTTAAGTCAGGATAAAAGAGACCATTATCATTCCAAAAAAGGGACTTTTTTGTGAATCAAAGGATTTGTGCATTTTTCTGCCAAGTCTTAAATGTTGAAATGTTGTTCATTTTGTATATTATTGTTTTATACTTCTTAAGAACATACCTATGTATTCCCTGAGGATATTGGGAATGGTTCTCCTAAAAAACCAAGTCACACAAAACTTATTTTTCACAACAGCTGTTACAAGCATTAAGATGTACAAAAAGATGAGTGAGATTGAGCTAGTCAGTCACCGACTGGATTTGCCGGCTTCCCAGTTAGTGCTGTTATCAGTTAAACCAGGCACTGATGGACGTCTCGTGGTCTTGCTACTCAGATCCCTGCCCTTCCTATTTCAGAGCCACGCAGGGTTATTTTAAACCGCCCCCATTTCCTCTATCGCAGAGGTGCACTCCACCATGAATTACTCTTCCCCCAGCTCATCTCACTCATTGGCTGGCTTTCGAGGCCTGATGTCCAGACTTCCTGGCGCTGTATTTTCCCATGACGGCAGTCTGTCGACCCATACATTAAAGCTCAGCGGCCCCCACCGCAGGCTCGGAGCGTAAGGTTAGATTGGGGTGAGCAAAGGGGGGGCGGGTCACTGCCCACATCCTGAAAAACACAGCCAGGACACACCTTTTCTCCTCACCACTCTTCAATATCATTTGGTTTATTCACCCTCAATTTTAAGTCCTTATGCACCAAAAATCCCACATAACACCGTTTTGTCGACAGGAGTCTATGGTTGACGACACAGACTAAACACTGTGGCTCTTTTCAACACTGCCTCTGCTTATAAATTCTCACGCTCGGCCTTTTAAACTCCCAAGCGGGAGTGTAGAGATGGACAACAAAACAAAAACGAATGAAGAGTAGGCGATTGCGGGATGTATTCATCAGGAGAGGAATTTAAACATCTGATTGGTTCACAAATATAGTGCAAGGCCAGCCAACCAGGGCAGACTTGCTCAGCCTTAAGAATTCAAGCATTGCATTTTTACTTTAAGGCTTGATTTACATTTTTGAAAACAAGCCCGAAAAGGGGTGAGGAAGAAAGTCAGAATGCTGTGGTTGGGTTTCCCCACCCGGGCACATGCTGTAGTTCTGGAAGATTCCATGAAACGGTCAAGTGTTATTGAAACAGGCTGTTCCCACCTACACCCACGCAGCCCGTGAGGGAATGGGTGCTTACATTCCCAGCGAGCCCCCCCTCCCCAATCCACCAGCAGTCCCCACGCTCCACCCTTGTTTTTTCCGGCTCTGGCTTTCAGGCTCCCGGGCCACATGCACGGGTCAGCTTCGCATTCCTCCCCCTGCCGTCGACCGGCAGCTTCTGCCATCCCGGGTTCTCAGATAATCCCCACCGAGGCGGCAGGCTCTTGCTCCCGGGGCCCCGAGGCGGACCGAGGTAAAGGGTGGAGGATGGGAAACCGGGGAGGAAAAGAACATGTTTGCCCGGCAGCTCCGAGGCGTGGGGGGAGCGGAGCGTGAAAGAAACGCTCTCAGAAAAAAAGATGAGTCACCATTAGCCTCTGGGGAGAAACCTTCACTGCTCTTACCACTGAGCATTAGGACGGCATGGAGATTATGGGCAGGAACAGGCAGCCTCATGTGACAGACTGGACTGCACCATTAACACGCCCAGGGGGGGTGACGGCAGGTGTATCAGAGAAGCTATTCACATAGACCCGGCTCCTGTGACACGGAACAGCCCAACGCAGGGGAGGGGTGGACAGGGAGTGCTGCGGGTGAGCATATATAAACAGCGTAGGGGGCAGTATGTCACGTTACAAGCAAAGACGAAAACTAACAGATTTGCTCTGTTTTGCCAGTAAGCGTGAGGGTGCTGAAACTGCTCTGTTCCCAGGAGCCAAATCTAGATTGGCCCAGTGTCTGGTCTGTAGTGGTCGCTTAACCATTGATGATCCATGTGTTGGTATTAGCCAACAGCGCACTGTCCCAGGGGTCTGCAGCACCGATTCCCAGCCGTCTGCCACCATCCACAGCATGACTCTTCATTTGTACATTCAGACACTCCATTCTGTAGAAGTGGACCTTGTTAGGAGAGGCAAAAAAAAATGTTTTTTGTTTTAGGATTCCCTCCACAGAGCCAAATCCTTTGTTTTCCCAAGGAAATCTGATCGCTTTTTGTGTTCTGCTCTCAGGTCTTTGCACTGCAGTTGAAAGGAAAAGCAGCATCCGTAAAACTCTCCCCCTTCCTTGTGACTGAGATTTGGCGTCAGGGTACCCCCCCTCCCTCACGCCCCGCGCTTCCTGGATCAACTCCAGGGTCACCGTCACCCTTTCCAGAGATAAAAAGCCATGGAACATAGGTGGAGGAATTCCCTTTGCGAGATTTAAATACCATCCCTGCGCTTAACACTAAATGCACTCAACTGAAAATACACAGCTAAGTAAAGGAGCAGGAATTGCATACAAAACTTTACTGAGAAGGAAGGAACCAGAAAAACATGCGGCATAAGACAACAGTATGGGCACCTCCATAGCATGACACCATTACAGCACTATAAGCTGTACTAAGCAAGATACACAAGTGCCAAGTGATACAGTACTGTGAGCAATCCACATGCTTCTGCAGGCCAAATCACAATAAATGAAAAGGTGTAAAAAGTTGACAGCTACAGCGCCCCCTGCTGGCCGCCACCCTCCGGGAGCGCAGTCCAGGCCTCGGAGCAATATAAACCAGGGAGTCCGTAGATAGGCGTACTTCGACAAAGTTCCACCAGCCATTGGGGGGGGGGGGGGGACAGTTCAGGCCGCCAAGCCAGCACGCTAAGTTTTACCTGTATAAGTCAGATAACGGGAAGGAGCTGAGAAACAGGCCTGAACGGGAGCGAGACACATTTCCAGAGACCCCGAGCTGGAGGAAGGGCCGTCCGCGCTCTGTTCTCTGCCCTCCAGTCAACATTTCCCAGTTTGAAAACTGCATTCCACTTGCAAATCTGTAAAAGAAAAGAGCAGTTGAATTTCCCTTTCAATAAATGTTAAAACACCAAGTCAACAATGATCCTGTGTTACGCATGCATTGATACACACACCCGTACATATTATATATTCCATATACTTATAGACACACACACACACGTGTTGGCTTATATACATGAATATCGGAGCGCCTCATATCTGGGAGACGGCAAGTTTGATTTACTGCGGGCAACAAACCAAGCAGACAGGAATACATGATCTGTGATGGGAATAGGAAGCATATTCAGGCTATTTTAAAATGCGTAAATGAAGGAGATAAATGATATAATTACACCGTATATATGTGTGTTCTGAATGAACACGCCCAAAAATAATCAAAGGGACTTCCTAAACGCTATATATAAGTCTTAATTCCCAGAATCTGCCCAGCTGCCATAATTAATTTTACCAGGAATCACTAGAATAGAGGCTAAAAATGTAAGGCGGGTAGTTATATTTTTACTTTCCAGTTAACTATGGGTATGTGGGAGATCTGCCAGAGCGTGTTTAACCAAAGAAAGGACGAGGCAAAGTGACATCCTGAGCCGCAGCCTGCGACACCTAAAGCGATCCGGAATCGTAAAGCTACATCTAAAAACCAGCATCTGATCAGATCTGGCAAATCTAACAGTATCCTCAGCGTGTGTTTGCAGTTCCCGCAGGAAAAGGGTTTATTTACTGAATCACACACAATTATAGTTTCCGCTGATTTTTCATTGCCCAGCGCACAGCATAAACAAAGTACTTGGAGAGAAACGCCAAGAAACAAATCAATAACAATTACATAATATATTAATAAACGCAGAACAATAGGTCACAGTGGTAAGGGAAATACTTAAGGATGACATTATCTTACTGCCAGTGACAGGTGCAGAAATAAAGGCTCTCGGTTGTCTAACCTTTGCTGGTGCCCGGCTTGCCCTTCATCGCGATTCCAGCGTCTCCTCCTCCCCAGTGCTCCCCAGATGTGACAGATGCCGGGTCCTCCCAGTCTGCACAGCGACGTGGTTCTTAAAGCGGACCAAGGCGAGGGCTATCTCGGCGTTCCAAGCGGTCCCTTCCTGCAGGCATCTGAAGTCGATCTCCTTGCCTCCCGCCATGACCACGGTGAAATACACCAGCCCCCGCTTGTATTCGACACAGTCGACGGTGGCCATGCGTTCGAAGCGCAGCTCCTTCGCTTTGGAGCCCTGATCGTGGCCCCCTTCGTCGTCGCCTTTCCATTCATACAGCCGGAGTCCTTCTTCGGTCAGCAGACAGCGCTTCTTCTTCCACAACTGTAATAACCCGTTGCTCCTTTTTTCCAGAAATCCTTCCTTCATTCCTTTCTCCGAGTTCATTATAAAAAATTTCCTGGCTTTCGCGCAAAGACTTTAACCTGAACCTTGTTGGTCTATTTTTTAGATTCCCGCAGAATCCGGAAACAGATCTTTAATTTATCAGACATCATTTATGTCCCCTAAACAAAACAAGTTTTGCCTTTGGTTATAGATTCATTTTCTGGAAGATAGGGCCTGCGATCGATCTTCTCTTATTCTCAGTGCTCCTAAATAAAAACTTCTCAACTAACAAGAAATGTCCTTTCAAAGACAAATTCTCCGTATATAGTCTTGTGCGTAACTAATCTTGGTCGGGAGGTACCGTATCCAGTTTGGTGATCGGGCGGTGCTGCCTGCCGCGCTGTACCTCTGGATATGCCCACACATGCCCAGCACAGGGACTCGCCTCCACGCGGTTTTGCCGGTCCAGCCCTTGGGTGGTGACGTCAGGCAGCGGGGACCAATGATAATACGGGGGCGGTGTTCAGTCGTCGGTCTCCGTGGAGACAACAGCTGTTGCTCATTCACAAAATGCAGACACACCCACCACCCTTGAACTACAGCTTATTGCGGCCGTCGCTGAAGTTCATTACCAGGCTGCCTCGAGAGTTTCCTAAATGGCGAAGGATCTGCGTGAAACTTTGAGCTCCGTAGGTCCCGCGTTAATGGAGCTACTGTTCTCTGCACAAACTTATACAAAAACAAATATGAGTTGGAGAAAGCCTACTGAAGACAGGGGAGGCCATTTACACAGTAAAATGTGTCTTTTGTTTTCACATTTCCATCTTGCTCTCCTATGAGACATGCATACACCGATCATCCATAACATTAAAAGAACCTGCTTAAAACAGTGTAGGTCCCCCTCGTGCTGCCAACACAGCCCTGACCTGCAGCGGTATGGGCCCCAATGTCCTCTGAAGGTGTCCTGTGGTATCTGGCACCAAGGCGTTAGCAGCAAATCCTGTAAGTTGTGAAGTGGATCAGACTTGTTTGTCTAGCATGTCCCACAGAGGCTTGATTGATTTGTGATATGGGGAATTTGGAGTGTGGCAGGGCACATTATCCTGCTTTAAGAGGCCACTACCACTGGGGAATATCGTGAAGGGGTGACTTGGTCTGCAACAATGTTTAAGTAGGTGGTACATGTCAGAGTACCATCCACATGAATGCCAGGACCCAAGGTTTCCCAGCAGAACCTTGGCCAGAGCATCACACTGCCTCCGCCGGCTTGCCTTCCTCCCATAGTGGTCCTGGTGCCATCCGGGGGTGGCAGGCCTATTTTACAGGGCTTTAGCCCCCCTAAAAAGGGTCATAACCCCCCCCCCCCCAAATAATAAGCCCCAGCCCCCCCTAGTAAAGACTCACCCCCCTTCTTATCCATTCAACTCTAACCACACCCCTGATGCCATCTCCAGGCAAACGACACACCAGTACCCGGCCGTCCACATGATGTAACAGTCATGTGACTCATCAGACCAGGCCGCCTTCCATCGCTCCCTGGTCCACTCTGACACTCACATGTCCATTGTAGGTGCCTTTCACAATGGACAGGGGTCAGCATGGGGACTGTGGTCTGCAGCTACGCTCCTCCACATGCAGCAAGCTGTGATGCACTCTGTCTTCTGACACCTCTCTATCACAGCCAACATTCACCTTCTCAGCAATCTGTGTCCTGTGGGATCAGACCAGGCCAGCCTTCGCTCCCCACGTGCATCAGTGGGCCTTGGGCCCTCATGACGCCTGTTACTGGTTCTCTGGTTGTCCTTCCTTGGACCACTTTTGGTCGGTACTGACCTCTGCATCCCGGGAACACCCCACAAGACCTGCCGTTTTGGAGATGCTCTGACCCGGTCACCTAGCCATCACAATTTGGCTCTTGTCAAAATCATTCATTGTGCTTCCCCATTTTTCCTGCTTCCACCACATCAGGTTCAAGAACCAACAGTTCCCTTGCCTAATATATAAGGGCACCCTTGACAGGTTCCATAGTAGCAAGATAATCACGTTATTCATTTTTTACCTGTCTGTGGTTTTAATATTATGGCTGATCGGTGTATAGGGGCGTCAAATTGGGCCCCCAGTACATAAAATGACAATTAATACATGCGGGGACAAAAAAAGACTAACATGGGACCCATTTAAACCGGGGGCTGCCACTGAAGCAGCTTTCAGGGTTAAACTTCTTGCTCAGGGGGCCCCACCAGGGTAGGATGATATAATTACCAGTCACGTAATTCTAAGGAGCACAGAGTCCTGACCTCAGAGCCACACAATTCCTCTGAGGCAAGTAGCTAATTTAGCTGCGTGACGTCTGTTAAGTAGCAGGTATCCAATCATAGCTGTACACTTCATACAAATGTAAGCAGATTATCTTTGACAATGTCACATGTTAATGGCAATAACGTTTTATTAACTTGAGGTTGTTTTAACTTTCTGAAATCTGATATTGATTAATATATATATATATATATATATATATATATATATATATATATATATATGTGTGGAATATAATGGGAAGTAACTTCAGTGTTAGAGAAAAACATTAGTTACACGTCAACACGAGGTCATTTGTTTTGCTGGCTGGTTTTTTTTTTNGGTATCCAATCATAGCTGTACACTTCATACAAATGTAAGCAGATTATCTTTGACAATGTCACATGTTAATGGCAATAACGTTTTATTAACTTGAGCCTGCTTCCCTACTCGCCCGCCCGCCAGTCGTATATATATATATATATATATATATATATATATATATATATATTTTCTGTTTTGTGGAATATAATGGGAAGTAACTTCAGTGTTAGAGAAAAACATTAGTTACACGTCAACACGAGGTCATTTGTTTTGCTGGCTGGTTTTTTTTTTGTTAGTTTTGTTGTTTTTTTTTGTTTTGTTTTAGTCTTGTTGCGGTTTGGTGGTTTTCTTCAAGTAAAAAAGTAAAATGAGCAGTACAACTCTTCACTTGGCACCATTGTGCCTCGAGCAGAGCTAATATAATTTTTAGCTGGCCATACTCACCATATATTCTCTTTTTCCCCAAACTTCTTTGGGACCCAAAATGGCTGAAATGCCTGTTATTTCGTCTTGCTTCATGTTGACATTTGCTTTCTACAGTCAGAATACTTTCTGTGTGTGTATCTGTGTCGCTTTGACGCCTCTTATTGCTCCCTGCCTCCAGTGTCTTCTCTTTTGCAGGCAAAAAACTGTCACCCTACACACTGTGCTAGCTGAGCATTGACCAAACCACTTATTAAATGAAACCGTATCAAATTTAAGTACTTAAGAAAGACTTCTTTTGCTACAGACTTTTGTGCAGTTGTGCATGGATGCAGCAAAATGAAGTCAGTAATGGGTAGATGAGTTTCCCTATTCAGCTGTTACTTCATCCTTGCGTAGGATATTTGACCATTAGGTCCTAGTTAGCCCTTGAAATTAAAAGGCCGTAAAAGGTCGTAAATTTTGGTGGAGAACTCAGAGATTGTTAACCGCTTAGGAATGTAGTTGTTTCAGGGTAAAGTGAGCTTCAAAATTCAGCATATGAGTGCAGACGGTAATCTCAACCTCCGTGGGTGTAGAATCCGGTGAGGCGGCTGAGGCCACAAGCAATGCATAACCGTATCTCGCCACTAGAGGGTGAACAAGAAGCAACGACTTTTAACTCAATCCAGTTTGGAAGCATAAGAGGTCGTAATTCGAGGAGGGTGCTCCAGAATAACACTGCGGCTAAGGGCACAAGTTTGTTTACTTTCCACAAGTGGGCAGCTTTGACGTTTTTCGTGGTTCTCATAAAATAATTCAATAGAAGGCATGACTGCAGTGCTTTATATGCAAACAGAAATACTTTCCTTTTATCCCACACAAAGTAAGGGTGGCCATGATTAATTTTTTAATTTTTGCCTTTTAAGTGTTTCTACACATTTCCATTTGAACATCCATCCATCCATCCACCTACCTTCCAAACGTTGATCCTTGTCATAGGAAATATATTTTTAAAAGTTTGATGAATAGATTGCATGGCCCGTAAAATGTTTTTCTTCTGATATAGAAATTCACTTAAAAAAACGATTTTGCATGATGGTTTTAGGTGATTTTCTTTGTCAGTGCTGTGTCGGGTTTTGTTCAATCTAAGCAATGGACCAGGGGGAGATTTCACAAAAGTGAAAGATTATACATGAGTGATTATAAGATTATCTTTTTTACGCATGCAGTCCAATTTGCCCCGAGTCATATACTCAGATTCCTGAAACGATGACAAAGTTAATAAATCCCCTGTTATTTTCACACACAGCTCCTTAAAACGCTTCACCCCCCTTCTGTGATTCTTGCCCCCCAGCCCCACTCCTACTCTTTGGCACACACACACACACACACACACACACGCACACACACACACAGCTCAGTGTCAGATATGGTCCACTGTTCTCTTCAGCTTAGTTCCTCCTCCTCCTACCACCCAGGCGGATCTTGGCTTTGAGCCCGCCTCTGTCTATCGCCTCCTACGCTGTGGCAGGGTTTGTCGGGACGCCGTCCAAGCGCAGGCGGGTTTGTTCGCCCAGATGTGCCCAGGGCGTGCAAGTCTCCGAACCCCGCTGAGAGGGGGATTGGGGGCGGGGTGTGAGGGGGGGGGGGCGTTCGGCCGGCTTCCCGTTATTCACAGCTCTGCGTTAGAATTGCCGGGAGGACAAGCCTCTGTTGTTTGGTGAAAGGGGATGATTTTTTTGTTACTCGAGTGCTATTTACGCTTTAACCGAGATGAGGACTTACGATCAGCTTGCCCTGCTTTTGGGCCTGAAACAACGATTCACTAATTTGCCACTAGTTTTATTTGAGTGAACGGTATGGGCAGGTCCTGTGTTAAACAAAATATCCTTAATGTTAATTTATGTAAAACCTTAAGTAAGTCGCTACAGAGCAACCACATTGTCTGCAGTGTGCGATGTGTGATCTAACTTTTATACAAACACAACGGTTAGTGACAGTTCATGATACACCTGGGATTAATGCACATTCCATTCTTTTACATTTATTTTAGAAGTAAAACCATGACAGTTTTTACACTTTGTCGACCATAAAGTGAAAGCACATACTGTAAAAAGTGCTTTATGGCAACGGATCATGTAACAATGTGATCGATCGAAATGAAACAAAAACACCAGCAGAGTGCTTAATAATTTAATTATTTGGTGTGTGTGCAGCATGTCAACGCGTTTCGTACACCAGCACCCTCATAACTGGATTCCAGTGCTATAGTGCAGCACGTAACTGCAATATAACTGCATTGAGGGTGTTTGACGTTCATTTTTTTATTTGGTTACACTACACTGAATATTGCGTGAAGTATTTGCGTGACAATGTTATTTAAATGATTGGAGACTCCATATAAAGATTATAAGAGTGACGTGCAGAGTGTAAATGAACCTTGCTGGAAAAAACAGCTAAAAACCCACTTAAGCTGGTAGCTTAAAGAAGTCTAAGAAGGTGTTCTAAGAAGATGGTCTAAGAAGATGGTCTAAGAAGATGGTCTAAGAAGATGGTCTAAGAAGATGG